ATCTGCTGCTTGTTCCTTCTCCTCTGGAGACTTGCAGTCTGGACCCCCTCCTCAGGAATTTCTCCTCGTGGCTACTCCTGAAATTGTGCTTTTCTTCTTCATTAAGCAAACATGCCTTTAAAGCCTCAAAATTTAAGTCCTTCTCTTCTTTGCACTCAAATATAGCAGAAACTGTGTCCCACGTTTTATCTAAACTGTTCAACACCAATAAAACTTTCTGTGACTCAGGAAATTTAATCCCACGTTGTTCTAAGTCCAAAAATAAACTTTGCATTTTATTTAAATGCTGTTCCACAGATTCACCTGGTTGCAAACAGGCTCTGTAAAGTTTTCTTGACAATTGCACTATATTGCATGCAGAAACATTCACATGCACAGCTCTCAACTTCATCCAAATTTCCTTTGCAGTCTTTAGATTTGCAACATTTAGAAACTGTTCATCATCTAAATTCAAGATGAGATAAGCCATGGCTTGATCATGGCTGTTCTGATCAACAGCTGCAAACACTTGTGGGGGATTTTCTACAATATACCACAGCTCTTTTGCTTTCAGCAAACATTCCATTTTTGCTGCCCAGGTAATGTAATTCTTTTGCCCTAAACGAGGAACAGAGCTTTCCTTAAATTCCATTGCAGCCATTCTGCTAATTCTGCCTTGTTCTTATACTTCTAAACATAGGCAATTTCTTCCAGCTTCAAATTATAATGCAGTCCTTAGTAAGCTCTGGGCCCATAACCTGTTAGAGAATTTTAATTTCTCTGTTGGTAAAAATAAATCAGAAGCTCTCACAGTTGACTGCATTTAGCTGATTCAAATAAACTCTTTATATTCATATAAAAAATATTTACAATACCATATATTCTTCTTCATAGCATCATAGCATAAATGAAGACTTCTTACAGTAGAGACAGACCTGAGACCTGAAACTGAAACCCAGCTTCTAACACAATAATCTTTTTACACAGACTCAGTAGCACTTTCTTCACATTGGCTGACTGAGTTACCACATGACTCTTCCTGCTCATGAATATTCCAACAGGGTCATTGAGTAGAGGTACGGTTTTGGTAACATAGCCTCTGGGACGATTTCAATGGTGCAGTCTGTGGGACAGTGAGGAGGGAGCTCATCCAACGCCCACTCACTGAATACATCCTTTAAGTCTTGGTATTCTTAACAGGTCTTTCCCTTTTACTGCCGCCCCGATCTCTTTGCAGAGGGCCCATTGGGGGAGGTGCTCTGCCTTGCTGTGGGGGTTTCTTCTCAGTGGGAAGGTCAACAGCCCTTTCCTCCAATCCACCCGTGGGTTTTATTTCTTCAGCCAGGCCAGTCCCAGAATGAGTGGCCTTTCCACCCAGGGGCTATTTTGAAAGTTAAAGTCTCTGAGTGTGCTCCCATTGTCATCCCTAGGGTTTCAGCGAATGTGGCTGGGATACCCCCATGACTGACCCATCTGGTTGGCAAAATGCAATTGGGGTTTTCAGCCGTCCTAAGCAGCCTTCTTAAGCAGATCCCCATTTTCTCTACTAAAGCTGGACTCACTAGGCATCCTGAATCTAATAGGGTCTTCAGGGAAATGTTTTTCCCAGTACCCAGAAGAGGCAGCTCTATGGGCATAGTTAAAGGCTTGATTGAACCACTTAACAAGGGATCGTCATCATACTCAGTGTCTGAGAACTCTTGGTCTTCCTCCAGTGGGGTCAGAGTTCCCTCCCTTTATTTGGGTGAGGGGTTGAACTTCTCTGTGCTCTTCAGGGCCATCTCCTTCACATGGGGGGTGCGATTTGGCAGCTTTCCCACTTGGTGCATGCTCTCCCTCCTTTGCTGGGGTCTTTGCTCTGCATTCGGTTGCTCTATGGCCTTCCTTACCAAATTTGAAGAAGGCATTGGAACGTACCAGCTGGATTTGGGGTCTGGTTGCTTCCCTCTTCTTCCCTGGAGTAACTTTTTCCAAACTTTACTGGTGCAGTACTTATTTCGGGCTTGGTCAATTTCAGCTTCCTTGGCTAGCATGCACCAGTCATAGAGGCCTGTGGGAGCCTCTCTCACAATGCAAGCATTGTATAAGTTATTGTTTAGGCCATCTTTGAAGCAGCTCACAAGGATGTTCTCTGGCCAGTCAAGGCGGCAAGCCACGTCCTGGAATTCTTCAGTGTATTCAGTTACTGGGACACGCCCCTGTCACATCATCTTTATGCGATCTTGGGCTTTGCGATCGGCAAGAGGGTCCTCAAATCGATGTCTCAGAGCTGTCATAAACCGGTTGAAGTTATGCAGCTCTGGAGCATTCACGTTGTGGAGGGTCGCCATCCACCTAACTGTGGCCCCCTCCAGTGTCAGGGTGATGACCCTGACTCTTGCCTCCTAGGTGGAGATCTCGTGGCCATACTCCTGCATGTAAGTGAGGATGTGAGCTAGGAAGAACCTGAGCTGCTGACGGTCACAATCAAACTTCACGCCGAGGGGGTGTACTTTGCGTTCTCACTGGGGCGCTCCATCATTGCTGGCCCTTGGGGCATTTGTTCCTCCCAAGTCCCCTTGGGGGGACCCTGCCATGGCAGTTGCTGCCCCTCCAAGGCTTTGGCCGTACCCGCCGCAGCACTCAGAGGTGATGATTTCCCCCCTCTACTTGCTGATCGGTCGCATCAGCCTTTGTCCCCCATCACTTGGGCTAAGGCTTCTCGTGCCTTCAGGTTCTTGAATGCCTCCATCATGAGAATGGTTGGCATGGTCAAGTCCTTCTCCATGCCCCTCATCATTGTCCATCGCCTCCAGATCCTCTCTCCATCCATGCTGACGGATACCTCAGGTGAGGGTGACCCCCTTGGTCCTCTCTTCCCAGTCATCTCCCTTCCCCCACACCAATGGACCATCTCGGCTTAGATGAGTCCCCTAGACTGACAGCTTCCTTTGTCCATCTTGCAGAGCTTGTGCTGGGGTGAGCCTTAGCAGGGGCTTCCCCCCAGTACTCGATTTCTTCCTGGTCATTGCCTTGGTTTGATATCATTTGCACGGTCTCCATGGTAGGGTGGATACCTTTCCAGGTTGACCACTTTGCAGATTCTGCCTAATATAAGGTCCTGCCTCAGCTATCTTATCAGGAAAGCATGACTCTTGAAACAAGCGTAATATCAAAAGGATCTTTTACTGAGAGAAAGTGATTGCAGAGAGGTCAGGCGGAATCTGAAGTTCCCACGCAAAATGTTAAGCTAATTTCCCATTGTCCAAACTCCACCCCAATGCCCCAGTCAGGCACCAATCCACTGGCGTAAAGTTGTGAGAACTCCAAGCTGAAAAGGTGATAACAAGTTGTTCCTTGGTGCCACAACCTTGGTAGCAGGGAGACATTAGCCAGAAAGGAGTCAAACCAGATGGCCCTGAGGGTTCATTCCCCCTCCCCAATTCCCATGCAGATACATCAAAGTGAAAGTAGAAACAATATAGAAACATCCTCAATCCCCAAGTAATTCTCCCCTCCCCTCAGAATGGCAGCTTTCCGATAGGGACCTGACAATAGTATTTAAAGAACTGCTTCCCTCTCCCTCTCCCCCCGCATACCTCCCTGAGTTATCAGAGAAGAGATGATACATAAATGCAATTAATTAATTGAACTAGCTTCCAGTCTAATTTCTGTATCACATGATGATAGTGGCACTCCCATTTTACAATGGAAAACATGAAAAAGTATTTCTTCAGAGTAACTCAGATGACAGAGATAAAAATCAACCATGGTGATTTTTAAAAGACTGTGACTGACCAACTATGAGGAACACACAATCTGAATATAACCTGAATGGATTCCATACCAAGTACAATAACTGCTAGTATACTTTGTGTTCTAGTTCAAAGACCTTGAATAATCTACACAGTTTGACAAAAAGTTATTTGAAGAACAATCTATGCCACTTTGTCTAATTAGATACCATTCAGATGTATTAAGAAGACCTTTGTACAGATTCATCAGTTGCCCCCTTTCCTCATTTGGGAAGCCCTTCAGATGGCCACTCATACCCTGGTTACCTTGAGAAAGGACTATTACAATGCACTTATTGCAATACATTGGGCTGCCCTTGAAGACCATTCAAAAGCTACACCTGGTTCAAAGTGCAGCAGTGGAAGCAATAACAGGCATTTCTTGTAATGCCTGTAAATCATCACTGCTATGCAACCTCTATTAATAAAGGAGAATATTTGTAGCTCAGGTTTGAAACGAGAGGTCCTTGGTGCTCACTGAGCTTGGTTGTTTTCTTGCAGACATTTCATTATCCAAAGGGTATATATATATAGAAATATATTTCTATTTATAGACAAAAAAAATCAATAAATATCTGAGGGAGATGGGCAGTTTAGAAATAGGATAGATGGATAGATAGATAGATAGATAGATGATAGATAGATAGATAGATAGATAGATAGATAGATAGATAGATAGATAGATAGATAGATAGATAGATAGATAGATAGATAGATAGAAACTTCAGTAAAAATATTGAATATTACTAGCCCAACTAAGACTGGCTATTAAGTTTCATATTTATATGATCATTTAAAAAGGTGAACAATTTCAAATGTATATGATGATCCATTAAGTACATAAATGAAAGTAATAATAAATTACTGAATATGTTGTCCTTTGAATTTCTATCAGGCTATCTTGGCTATACTAGTGGATTTTCCCTGACATGCATGGTATTTTTTCTCGTAGTGGTAAGTTGGACTTAATGTTTCAATTTGGTCTAAGTGATTAAACTTCCAATTTAAAACCATTTGCTGAGCATTTTCAACTTTGATCCTTTATTGTAGGTCATATACAAGAAATTTCAGCTTTCTTGTCCTTTTCTGGACAGAAATGCAACAGATGCTACCTTTTCCAATTTTAGCTTTGGCATGGAGGCATGCAGACCAAAGTATGTTACATTTAATTCTAAGGTATGTTTTTTCTACAGTATTTGCCATTTCTTTCCACTAATAGGATGCTATAGATATTATAGGAACATACAAGTTCAATTGTAGAATGTGCTTTTTAAAAATTTAAGAAATCTGTATACTTTTTCCTGGTAATGAAAAGTAAAACTAAATGGTGCTTAAGAACTCTGTGTTCCATAGTATATCATTAGACACATTCATTGAAATTTATTGACCAAACATCATTTTACTACAGATGCAAAAGTACAGAAAATTCCAGTTCTGATATTTGAAACAATAAAGACTTTATAACAACTATAGGAAAAGGATCCTGATTCTTACCCTTTTTTTTAACAGAGTGTGTATGCTTTGCCTACCATTGCATTTGCATTTGTGTGCCATCCGTCAGTCCTTCCAATCTACAGTGAACTTAAAGAGTAAGAAAATATTTATTATTGATTGTTAAAAAGAACATTTTCATCTGAATGATAGGAATATTAAGTTATATGCTGCAGTGTTGTCATTATCCAAAGGAGATGGAATAATTGATACTTTCCTCCCTCCGAACATTCCAGAAAGACTTGATTCACCGGGGGGGGGGGGGGAACGGAATGAAGGGACGTTATTATTCGCTTGTGCATTTTCTTTAGATCTGCATAGCTATTTATAGAAATGCCAACAATGCTAATAATCATTCTGAAGGGATGTTTTGCTACAGCACCATTATCCACATCTGGCTCAAAGGCAGCTTAAGCTAGCAGAAATGTAAATGGTGGGTGGGGGTTTCCTCTCCCTTTCAACCCTACTTTTTCAATCAGGTGTTATATTCTACTAAAAAATTAAGAACTATGCCACTAAAATCTGGAAGGCAGAGTATATTGAATTCTCAAATCTTCTGAGGATTGTAGAAATTGTATAGGGATAGTAGGTATATAAGTAACGTAAATAGCTTGGTATTCTCCATGTGTTTGGATTACCACTGCATAATTCCTAACGATAATCTATTCTAGCAAAAGTTAAGTGTCTCATTATTGTATCCTAAACTATCTGTGGAAAGTCAGCTTGTCAGTGGTTGATTGATTGATGTATTGATTTATATGGCTACCCATTTCACACTGGCAACTCTGGACTGATAACAGAAGATTAGAAACCCAAGAAGAATCAATGAAAAGTTCTTTGTGAATAAAACGACAGCTTTAATTGTGCGCATTAAATTTAGCATATATGAAATTGGGTAATATCCCCATTATAACAGGGGATATTTGTATATCCATCCAAACAGAGTGATGCCTAAAAGGGACTGCTTAATTTGGTTAAACGAATAATAAAACAAAATCAAACAAAATTAATCTGTTTTCTATAGTATTGTTTTCTAGATCTATCTGAGAACTTTAATTTTTATAGTTTTTAATACAAACTCATCTGATCTATAACTCCTGAAATAATTGCCAGATTAAAACCTAATTTACATTTTTCATTTCTTTAGATTTTGTACTGCAGTGCTGTATTCAAAACATGTAACAAATGTATTAAATGTTTTAGCATAAATGGGCTTGAGCTTTCCAGGGTCTGTCATTTGAACAGATCAGTTTGCAGTTAGGAAAGGCCAGAAGGAGCAAGATCCAGCTGTGATTGGAAGAAGGATCTTCTCATTCACACACAGAGACATACACACATTTCCCTCACTCCCTGGGCTTTAAAAGTTAACATTTAGAGGTACTCACCTTTTTTCCAAAGCAGCCCTTGAGCTCAAACTCAAAACTCCCTTTACTACCATTGCTCCAAATAGGCAGGGTCTGGGAAACCCACCTACAGACATAAGGGGTCTGCTGCCGGCAAGATGGAGGCTTACCCAGGCCCGGTCCATTGGTGAGGTTAGCTTGAAGCACCATCCTGGGTGCCCAATTTTTGAAGGAAAAATCTTCATCAGGGTCCAGTTCAAGCGGGAATAAATAAAATGGAGGCTGCTTAGGGAAGAAGGTTCAGTTTATTGAATTGCCAGAAACTTCAGTGGCACAGCATGTTTCTTGGGTAACTGACAAAATGGAGTTGGGATAGGTGGGCTTTTATATCTTCTTTGGGCTTTATATTTGAGATTCTTTGTATTTCCTGTTCCTGTGCAATGTACTTTGACCTTAGCCTTTTGGTATTCTAATGGTGGTGAGTTAACCCTATTGTGTCCTAAAGGTCATCTTCCTGTCCTTGGGAGTCTTTGTTTTTCTAATCCCATCATCTTAAACCTTCTCTGGGGCTGTGGCTGAAGGCATTTTGTTTATGAATAGGTGTCCCCAAATCTGCATTTCTAAAAGCTGGCCTGCTCAGTTTCTGCCTGGGGAAACTTGGGTAAAAAAGCCTTTTAAGAATGTTTTCCTCCATTATTCCTTTGGGGAAATATAATATTCTGCCTTTTTTAATATCCCCACAAATATTTCCTTTTCTAGGAAGGTGGGTGGGTGCTGACTTTCAACAGTTTAGATGCAGTTATTGTAAAAGTCCTTTCTGTTGCCCTTAAGATACTTGCTTTCATTACTTTCAGGACACAGAGAAGGAACTTTCCATCAAAATGTACATGCAGGCAAACTACCTCTTAGACACAGGTCTCCAACCTTTTGAGCACCAGGGACCAGTTTCATGGAGAGAGTTTTTTCTGCGGACTGGAGGGGGCATGGTTTCATGTACTGCCTGCATCCCGCAGATGGGCCTTTGTTTGCGCGGACTGGTTTCTGGCATGCTGTGGCCCAGTGCTGGTCCACGGACCATGGGTTGAGGACCCTTGCTCTAAGAGGTCTTGGATAAATCATTTATAGGTCTTTACTAATGCTTTGAATTGACACAGTAAGAAACTATTCTAAACCGAGGTCAATAGGGATCCTGCACAGATTCAGGATCCAAAGGAAGGGTTACTGTGAAGGCATAATCATGATCTTTCTCAACTTATGGGGATGGATACATAATTCTTTCTTTCATGTCATAATCACAACAGATTCTTTTCTTCCACTTCAAGCACTACTGTATCTTTCCTATGAAACTAGATAGGAATTTGGGACATTACCAAAACCTCTAATTAGGCTTACTGTAATCATTCCAGCAGCTGTTATTTACAGTGGGAGAAAAATATACTCACTGTGTTAATCCACATGTTTAATCACATATATTACTACAATTACTATATGTAAGTTCATTCATTTGCCTCCACTATAGACAAATCTTTGCAGGTCCCCACTTGTATTTCTCTGATACTGTTACTGAGAACCTTGCAAAAAGAAATGAGGTAGGATGCTGGCAAGGAGGCTTTTCACTTGTGATGCCCCAATCTTGGAACCTAATTTCCAAGGAGACTCTTTAGGACTTTTCCCCAGCATTGCAATTTTTAATGCACGAGGAGCCCTTGGGTCTTGTTTTAGTGGGTATTTTTTCAATTTTGTGGTGCCTACATTATATTTTAATTCTGTACTACTGCAAGCTATCTTGATATACTATACCAGTGATGTCAAACTGCCAGCCCGCGGGCCGGACGTGTCAGCAGGAAACTGCGCCCACCCCATTGCCAGCAATGGGGAAAAAGCTCCGATACGTCATGTGATGTCACATGACGTCGCGAGTTTGACATGTCTGTACTATACGGAAGAATGACCTTCTAAGATACATGCATTAATTCAAAGGAAATAAGCTAAGGTTTGGATGGAAATATAGAAAGTGAATTTTTTAATCATTAATTCCTAAATCTGGGGAATATCTCATGTGTTTTGAATATGTTCCTTCATGACAGTGAATGAGGAATGCATTTGGGAATTTATCTATTAGCACTCATCGTTAAAAGAGATGGATTATGTTAGAGAATTTTAATTTCTCTATTGGTGAAAAAATAAATCAGAAGCTCTCAGAGTTGACTGCATTTTAGCTGATTCAAATAACTTCTTTATATTCATATCAAAATATTTACAATACCATACATTCTTCTTTACAGCAACATAGCACAATGAAGACTTCTTACAGAGAGATACAGAGACAGACCCGAGACTGAGACAAAATCTAGCTCCTAACTCAATACCTTTTCTGCACAGACTCAGTAGCATTTTTCTCACATTGGCTGACTGAGTTACCACATGATTCTTCCTGCTCATGAATATTCCAACACTCCTCCCTT